TGAAAAAAAAGAAGCTGATAAATGAAGAGCATTACGAGAAAAAGAGGAAAAGAAAGAGCTTGAAGCAAAAAGAAAAGCGATGGATGCAAAAATTTTAGAAGATATAGCAAAAAAAGCTAAGAAAAAAGCAAATGATAGAGCATAAAAAAATGTTAAAAAAAGAAATTAAAAAATTTTGAGATTTAAATAAGATATTGGCGAAAATTGGCAACGTCGAAAACGTCACTGTAAGCCCTAAACTTGACGGAGTTGGGGCTTACTATAATAAAACATCTAATAGTTTAATTATATGTCGATCCTCGGTTAGAGTGACAACATTTTCTATAAAAAAAGATGATAGAGTTGAAGGATTTGGCGAATTAGTTTTAAATAAAGAGTTTGGAAATCGGCGCGACGTTGTTGGACTTATTAACAGAAAGTTTTATGATAAGCGCCACGACTTACTTGAATTTATTAACTACAAAAGAGTTGAAAAAGTAATTAAATTGAAAGATTTGAAAAAATATATTAAACAACAGAAAAATATTGATTTTTACACTGATGGTGTGATTATTGAACGTAAATATGCGTTTAAATTCGAAGGACCTAAAAGTTGTGGAACAATAGATAAAATAACAAAACAAATTGGCGAAAAAACGGGCAAAATTTCTTACATTGCTTGATTAAAACAAAGTATTAAATTGAATGAAATTACTGTCAAGAAAGTTAATTTGTCAACTAATAAAAGTAAATATAAAGTGGGTGACCATGTCATTATTGAATTAAAAGGACAAACGGTACCTATAATAATAAAAAAGGAGAATATATAATATGAATAAATTTATTGTAGTTGAAGGAATTGATTACTCCGGTAAATCAACATATATAGAAAAATTGAAAAAAGAATATAAAAAAGAAGGAAAAAGTGTTTATGTAACACGAGAACCACGAGGAATTAGTTTTGGCGAATTGTTAGCTAAAGAAGTCTTTTTTAACGACAGCCTCAAAATTAGTTCGATCACAAAAGCAATTTTGTTTATTAGTGTTGGTTGAGAATTATATAATAAAGTATTGGTTAAAAGTTTAAGAAGTATGATATTGTGATTTGCGATAGGTATATATTTAGTACGTTTGCTTATCAGGTATTCGGAGGCGATAAAACAATTAATCAGAATCAATTATTGACAATGTATACGTACGCAATGCCGAAAAATTATTTACCTGATGAAGTACATTGAGTAGATTGCTCTACTGCTGAAATTTTAAGACGAGTAAAAATTAGATTACCGGCCAACAATTACGACGCAAAATGTTTAAAGAAAAGTTATGTTAATAAGATTAGAAAAGCCTATAAAGAAACTTTTGAGTTTTTCACGTATAACGCTATTTATTCTAGAAAATGTAACAAAGAAAACGTTATTGTGTTTGAAAAGGACAAAATTAATGAATAATATTTTTAAGAGTTTGGCACAAATGCGCGATTTGAATATTATTGATATCAATGAGGCAAAAAAATTAAACAAAACTATTATTGTTTTAAATTATGATTATGCTGTTGTTGAAGAACACGAACAAGTTTAAATATTTCGAAAGTAACAGTTGGGGTGAAAAAAAATTTTTTGCTAAAAAGACCTTTGTAAAGAACAATAATTTAAAAATCAAGTTTAATTGTCTTGACGGAGATTATGGATTTGTTGCTATTGACACGGTGGGTTCGAAAGCCCACTTTGTTAATTGACATGAAATTTTAGATAGTCAAGTCCATAAAAAACAAATATATAAAATTAGATTTAGTATTAACTATAATTTTTCAATAGATTTTTTAAACGATTCTTGACGAAAATTTCGAGCAACACATTCTAATCTATATTTTAAAAATTTTAGAAATGAAGTTGATAGATATATAATAAATTTAAAGTTTGTAAGAACATTTATAAATAACATAAAAGGAGTAAAAGAAGATGTTTAAAAATAATAAAGAAAATAATGATTTAGGGGTACATAGTAAAGATATTGGTTTAATGTTGGAAGTAAGTAATGAAATATTTTGTAGAAATGTATCTTTGAGTTGAAGCACATGACAAAAAGTTTATAATCGAAATTACTATAAGAGCGCAATATTAATAAAACATTCATCAAAAATGAATACGTCTAAATTGTTAAATATTCGACGAACTATTTTGACATGTAAAGCAATTTGAAAATTAGCGGAAAATATTTTAAAATTAGAAGATAATAATGAAAATAGAGCAAAATATTATAGAGAAGGGTTACGTTTTTATATTACAGTGTGACCTCCTGCGTTGACATGATACGGAGAATTTGGAAAGTTTTTAAGAAAATGAAAAAAAAAATAGATAAATTATATAATGAGTATATTAAAACAAAAGACAAAAAAATTCTAAATAGAATTAAATATGAAATGTTTGAAATTATAAAAAAATCATGTGGTGCTATTTCATATACTAAAACAAATAGATATGCGGACCCTAAAACAATGTATAGTTTTTGTTTCGACAGGTTTGATAAAATAATAAATGATTATGATATTAAGTATAAAACATCATTAGAAACTTATACTATAACGTGTATTAGAAATTATTTAAAAAGTATTCAATTTCATAAAAGTAAAGTAATGTCAAGATCTAGAGTTCATATAACACAATCTTTAAATGCTTTTGATAATGATAAGTTTAAGTTAGATTTAAAGAGTATTTTAGGTGATACATTAGATTATAAATTGATATGTGATTATATTGGACTTAATGGTAAGAAATTAAAAAATAAAGAATTAGCTAAAATATATAATAAACCTTTAGGTTCTATAAAAACAAGACTGCGAGCTATTGAAAAGGAACTTAGAAAATATTTTAAAAATAATTAAATCTTTTTTGGCATTTTTTTACATATAACTATATGAAGGGCAAGAGACCTACGAAAACAATCCCTGAATAGTTGACACGTGGAAGACCACGAGTTTTAGTCCTAAATACATAAAACTTAATAGTAACAAACTCCGCCTTGTTACTCCGATAGTTTTTGACTTTAAACTGTTAGACACGGGTGCGTCTTTAACCACACTACAGTTTGAAAAGGTACTATAACCTTTTAGTCAAGTAGTGACTTAAACCGACTTAACTGCCTCTGTTAACGCGGAGGTGGTTTTTGGGCCTGTAGCTCAATTGGGAGAGCATTTGGTTTGCAATCAAAAGGCAGTCAGTTCGAATCTGGCCAGGTCCACCAATGATTATTTGGGATCCGTCCTTTTAGTCCTGTCATGACTTTAAACTGACTTATAGAGTGTTAGTTCAGAGAGGAGAACATCTGTTTTACAAGCAGAAGGTCAGTGGTGCAATTCCACTACACTCTACCAATGAGAGCTAGCTTTGAAGTCAAGCAGTCGGGTTTTACCCGGAAGTGAAGGTTAAATTCCTTCGGCTCTCACCATAATAGAGTGTTAGCTCAGCAAGTAAGAGCGCCTGTATTACAAGCAGGAGGTCAGTGGTTCAAGCCCACTACACTCTACCATTTTTTGCTGGTTTAGCTTAATTTGGCAAAGCACCCGTCTTGTAAACGGACGAGTAAAGGTTCGAGGCCTTTAACCAGCACCATATAGAGCTATAGCTTAGTGGTTACAGCGCACGCCCTATAAGCGTGAGATCTTGGGTTCGATCCCCAATAGCTCTACCATTGGAAGTGTAGCGAAGTGGTTAAACGCGTCTGACTGTAAATCAGATTCTTTTTAGATACGGGAGTTCGAATCTCTCTACTTCCACCATTATCGGAAAGTAGCTTAGATGGAAAAGCACTCGGTTTGGGTCCGAGAGATCATAGGTTCAAATCCTCTCTTTCCGACCATTTTGGAGCGATACCCAAGCTGGTTTAAGGGGACTCATTGCTAATGAGTTAGGTTAGTTTCTGACGCATGGGTTCGAATCCCATTTGCTCCGCCACGCCTCGTTAACTCAAACGGTAGAGTAGTTGCCTTTTAAGCAAATGGTTAAAGGTTCGAGTCCTTTACGAGGCACCATTTTAGCCCACGTAGCTCAATTGATTAGAGTCAAGGTGTTCTAAGCCTTAGGTTGAAGGTTTGAATCCTTCCGTGGGTACCATAATTTCGCAGATGTAGTTTAGTGGTAGAACTTCAGATTTCCAATCTGATTGCGGGAGTTCAATTCTCCCCATCTGCTCCAATATTTCAATGTCATTTTTGACATTTTTCAGGAACAACGACGTCTACAACGTCAGATTCCAAATGTGCCGAGCATCACAATTTAAACTGCTCATTATTTGAGGTAATCAAATGAAAACGATATGCGTCAAAAGAAAAATGACTCAAAGTGAAAAACTTTTAGTTTTAAGACAGAAGAGGCTAGTTTTAATATCACAAATAAAACACGTCAAACTTCTTTTTTTCTTATGTTTGTTTGTAATAATCATACCTTACTATTTATATGTAAAGTGTTATCGAAACGTGAAAATTATAAACAAAATAAAAAAAATTAATACTAAAATAGTAGAGCGAGGTGGGTACGAAACTAACGTACAAAAATTATATAATCCTCACACTACGAAAATCCCTTGAAGAAGTCATAGTTAAATAATAATGTTACTATGGACAGAGAAAAAAAGAAAAAGAAGATTGAAGACGAAAATGATATCGCCGATGTTGTTATTGTTTCAGTTTTTATATAAATGACAAATGAAGAAAAACGAATGTATGATTGATACATTTGATCAGTTTCAACAATGATACAAAAAAATGTGATTGATTTAAGAACTCTAAAAAATCAAGTAAAAGAGTTAAGATATATGTTAATGACTGTTTTTGAAGAATCACCTCCACATTGAGAGTCTGAATATATAAATCCACGATATTTCACAATCTTAGAAATTGTAAAAAAGAAAGAAGAGGCTTTTCAGTATGGTATTGATAATTACGACAAAATAAAACAAGGCAAAAAAATGAAAGAAAAATGAGATGACAACAGATAAGATCACATCTTAAAAGGAAAAAAAATATGGTATATAGAATAGAAAAATATGATATGATTCATAGAGATTGAGCAAAACACGCAACATCACAAATATATAATGATTATGTTAAATATTGTGAAATATTAATAGAAAAAGATGACTTACAATTAGAAGATCTTAAAAAATCATTAGATTTAGTTAAATACTCTATATTGAATTTGACAGAAACAATTTTAAAATGTATAAAAGAAGGGCAATCAATTATGCCACACAACAGTCTTTTAGAACATAAAATTGAAATTAAAACAGCTTTAGAATATTGTATTAAAAATTTTAATAATATTAAGGAGATTTGATAATAATGGAGATGAAAACTGATAAGATCACATCTTGAAAGGAAAAAAAATAATGAAAACAACAAATGAAAAATTAGAAGGACTTATAACGACATTACTAAAAAAAGAATATTGAGTAAGCTGAACTAAACAGTTAACAGACGAACAAATTGATTTAATCAAAAAATGTATACCGCAATATGACTCAAAAAAAATATACAAACAATTTGATACTTTTGTATATAATGATGTGGCTTGTATTGTAACAACATCTAATAATAAAGGTTATATGTGAGCACATCCTTTGCTAAGAAATAGCGCTGTAAAATATAGATGCTCAGGTGATGGAACATTAATGAAAATTTATTATGAGTTTCATTCATCATTACCAAAACCTTTTAACAAATTAGAGGCTAATTTAAGTTTAGAATATATTAACTCAATTTACAGTTGAATTGAAGATGGGGCGATTGAATCTTTAAAATTTAAATATATTGACATAAAAAAAACATTTAAAAAGTTAGATACTATACATGAAAGTCATAAAGATTTAGGTGTGGCATTTAGTAAAGTAATCGACGTTTATTTAAAACCAACATTAGAACGTATTGAAAAACTAGAAAAAGAATTAAAAGAATTAAAAGGAGAAAAATAATGACAAATAAAGAAAAGAAAGAAATGATGTTTGATTTATACGTTACAAAACTTAAAAATAATATAACTGTTAAAGAATGAAATGACATTTTAGAACGTATTGAAAAACTTGAAAAATTAGTAAAAGAATTAAAATAGGAGGTCAAGAATAATGACAAATAAAGAAAACAAAAAAGATTCATGAGCACCATTAAAAATTTATTTGATACCAATTTTGGAACGTATTGAAAAACTAGAAAAAGAAGTAAACGAATTAAAAGAGGTCAAAAATAATGACAAATAATGATATATATAAAAAATTTATCAAACATGTTTCAGTATTAGTGATAAATAATTTAATTAATTTAGAAAATTTAAAAGATATGTTGACTATAACAAAAAATGAAATATTAGAACGTTCAGAAGAAATTATTAAAAAGATGTACCGCAGAGAATGAGGAGAAATAACTTTCAACGAAGAAATACAATTAGAATGTATTACGATTAAAAAAGCATTGGAACATTGTATCAAAAATTTCGATAAAATCAAAGGAGGTCAAGAATAAATGACAAAAAACAAACAAGTTAAAGAAGTTTTAAGCTTCTTACAAAAAAATAGGTGAGTAAGTATTGTTTTAGGTGTTAGTGCGTTAAGTTTAATTGGTGCTATTACTGGTATTACGTTGAACAGCATATGATTTGTTGAAAATAAAGACAAAAAGAATACGAAACATAAAGAATTAGTAGCTACACAAAAAGCAGATATTGAAGCTCAAAAAACAGCATTTACTACTAAAAATGAAGAATTAATTGCTAAACGAGACGCAGATTTTGAAGCTCAAAAAGAAGCATCTATAGCTAAATATGGAATAATTGAAGATGCTACTATAGAAATTACAACTAAGTTAAAATATGAAGTTGGAATTGGAAAAAAAACACCCATTACATTTGATGAATTAGTAGCAGAAGCAATCAAACAAGATTATAAATTAAATAGTCAATTTTTCATTGATGCGTTAGACAAAGAAATCATACTTATTGAAAAAGCTATTGCTAATAAAACAAAAGAAATCGAAGACAGAGGATGACTAAGAAAATCATATAAAGAAGATTCTGTAGCTTCTGATGACGGTACCGCTGATGAAATGGAAAAAACAAGACTTAACACCGTTAAGAGAAAAACAAACAGACGCCGAATTTGAATTAAAACCATTAGAATCGACACTGAAAGAATACAAATCAGCTAAAGAAAAATGAATATTATATGGGTTAAATCATCCCAACAATGATATTAAAGAAGACGCAATTAAAGAATTGTCAGGACCTTATAAAACATTCAAAAGTGAATCACTCAAAGCCAAAAACGACAATATTGAAAAATTATCAGAAATTAATAATACATTCGAAAGTGCTTTAATCTCAACTGAAAAAGGAGATCATGGACATTACAAAGATAATATGGTAATTAGTGGTATTGGAATTGGAATAGCAGGAGTTGCTTTCATCGCTTTAAGTTTAGTTTTTGTAGGTACAGTATTTAAATTTAAATTGTGAAAAAAAATTAAAAGGAGAACAAAAAATAATGATTAAAGATTGAGAATGAGAATATAGTGAAAGAGAAAAATATTTAGAAAAAAATAGAAGATTTGTATTATCAAGTAATGATAGATTTTATGATAGTAACGATGAATCAGATTACAGAATTATAGAAGACTTGATAATATATGAAATATATAATAAACATATGACTATTGAAGATCTTAAAAAATTATTTTATAAATATAGCACGCGAGAGTTTGATGAAAAAAGAAACCATTTTAAAAAATTTCAAATTACATCATTAGAAAGTGTACAACAAATAGGTATAATTACTCGACATTGTGAAGCTATGAAGAATTTATTAAGTTTTCATATTATCAAACAAGAAGAAAAAAAAGGAGAAAAAGAATAATGCGTTATGACTCAGAAATAGATGAAATAGATATGGATTATAATTGAGTAGCAAAATCATCAAATATTGATCCTAGACCATCACCATATAGAACCGGAATGGAAAGACTTTATAGAGAAAATAAAGAATTAGAAAAAAAAATGAAGAATTAGAAGAAAAAAATAAAGAATTAGAAAAAAAAAATGAAGATTTGAAGTTTGAAATGTACTGTATAGAAATGAAACGATGTCCAAATATAGTACGTCATTATAGATATTGTAATAGTCATTGTTGTAAGAATACTTGTTATGATATTTGTTTTAGTTTATGAAACGATCCTCATTTTAAACGATATTATAAATGTCGTTGCCGAATGGTCAACTAAAATGTTAGATTTCAGAGGACAAAATTTATACAACTTGGGGCCAATTTTTTTAGTTACTGGCCCTATGTTTGCCGGAAAAACGGCTTGAGTACAAAGAAAATTAATTGAATGAGAGTGTGAAGACGCACCTATTTTTCAACGTGAAGATACTATTAGAAAAGAAAGACAGATTGAAAATGTGATTCCATATAAAAATAACGTTGATTTAAAATCAAAATTAGACGAAGTTCTAGATAAAATTTTAAACAAAAAGTTACCCCAAATCATCGTTTTTGAAGAATGTCATTTCTTACCTCTTGAATTCTTTAATGATATTGACAAATTAATCAGCTGAGGAATTGTATTGTTATTTTGCGGTCTTAGATTACTTAATAATGATGTACGCCGATTCATGATGAAAACATTAGAAGGAAAGGCAGATTTTATTGTTAATTTAGAAGGTACTGATTTTTGCTCATCATGTGAAGGCATGCCAGATTACTCTTTGTCATATCGAAAATCAACTAAATCAATAAGCTATGTTGGAGGGTCAGACACTTACCAAGCATTATGCATGAAATGTTTCATAAAAAAAGAAAAATATAAGGAGAAAAATATATAAAAATGAATATGAACGAAAATAATAATATCGAACAAAATAACGCACTAAAAAATATCGAGTATTATATGTGACAAAATATTTTTAAAGGTGCTTATACTGGAGTTTCATTACTCTCAATACCAAAAGTTTTTGATTTCGATTTTAAAAAAATGTATCAAGATAAACCAAAAAAAGGAAAAAAAGAAAGTGAATCAGATTTTAACAATAGAAAAGTACAAGTTACAAATTACAATCAAGTTGTAAAAAGTTATATTAGTACTCACGAAGAAATAATTAAAGATTTTAAAATATCGTTAAAAACATTAAATCCACTAATCTTAACTGAAATC